AGGCTTGCCTTGCCGTGATCTACTGCTAGGTTGGTTGCTTATTTTACTTATAAGCAGGAGAGCAAAATGAAAAATTCTCACACTTTTTCTTTCTTCAGCTTATAACTCCTGCTTATAAGTATATTAAGCAAATGCCCAAACATCTACACTTCATTGTTTTTTTCTTTTTCATTTTCTATACTTGAATTTTACACCCAAAACTTCTTTGGTTCCAGAAGTTCTTGCTAGATAAAAAAAAAAAACTTACTTATTTACATACACATATACTAGAAGAAATTTAACCTTTTTTTTTTTTTTTTAAATTCAAGTAGAAACATAATGAGAGTTCCAATCTAACACTCAATGTAACCGACAAAGAAAATAAATTAAAATTTTATTATTGTTTAATACTGCATAACAAACATGCAATAGTGACTTTTACGTGTTGTTTCGTACAAGCCATAGCATGAAACATCAATGCCTTCTTTCTCACTTTGTATATGATCATCATATTCGTCTTGTACACGGTACTTGCATACATACATATATACATACATACATTTCTATTGCTCAAGTAACACATTTTAATATGGACAGGAAAACAAGACCCCAAATGACGTTATCAATCCTTTTCCAAATATTCCTATGTTCCATATTCGGGCAAGTCTCGTTTTATTTTTTATTACCTTAAGATATATGAATGTTGATTTAGCCGTGGCAATCGAGCAGAGGCCTATGAGCGGATCAGCGTGACCAATTGTCACGACAATAATTCTAAAGCTCTCTTTCGATATAAATTTCAGGGTCACATTGAATCAGATCACATATTTTGTCGGACTGAAGAATTCTACTCCAACAATTGCATGTGCATTGACAAATATAAATCCTGCAGTCACATTTGTCATGGCTATTCCTTTTGGGTAATGTATTTATACTCCTCTTGTTGCATTCTTCACTATATAATAAACGAGTTGTATTCAAATTTCCCACAAGTATTTATAGGATAAGTACTAATATGGGATTTTTCAATATATATCGTCCAATCTTAATTTTGAGATCGTTTTAAAATATTCATTACGGATCGACTGTCTTGTATAGTATCTCGTACATGACTTCACATACGTATGTATATGTTTGGCAGGCTAGAAAGGTTGATGTTGAGGACAAAAGGAGGAAAAGCCAA